TACATAAACGTATAGTTTCAATATCGATATTTGTGTTGGAATAGTTTGCTTCCTCGTGAACAAAAAAACCCAGGAAAACATATTGTCCTCAACCACAGCTAACTCTCACCAAGTGACCTAATTTAGAATAACCTAGAGCTAAGCATAGCGGAGTTCATCTTCCCGAGGCAAGGGCGTTAACTGACCATAAAAGTCCAGTTTCCACCCTTGCCGAACTAGGCTGGTATTATGGAGTTACATTTTGGCTGGACTAACGAGTCTATGCATAGTCCAATCAAAATCGCGCACCGAAATCGAAATCTGGTTCGTAAAGTGTCATGCAGATTTCCGTCGACTGCAGGATTTGAAAAGGATGTGCACCACTAAATATAACTCGTTGTCAACAGATATTTTCTAAATCATTTCATGTTTTTAATCAAGGTGCTCACGTGGTTTGATGCACTTCGCGATGTAAGACTCGTTTTATCACAATATAGATCTTGATTATCAATCAGATCGTCTTGACTGGGCGCCACCGTTTTGTTTGAAGCAAATGCAAGTGATACGAGAGGTTGAATCTGATTGGTCAATAGGAGAGGCATAGAAAGGACATAACTCGTAATAGCCACTGGTGGCGCTACGATCGAGCCCAGGAATTCCAGCCTAGTTCGGCAAGGGTGGAAACTGGACTTTTAAAGTAAGTTAACTCTCTTGCCTCGGGAAGATGAGCGGAGTAAGGCCCTCTGTTCTTTCTACCTGTGTAAACCCCCTGTCGTCTTTTGACGCCAAAGAGGTTAATCGGTTTTCGTCATTCACGGCAGGTTATTTTTTGTATTGAATGTATAACGTTATACAGTTATGTCGTTCACATATACGGCAGTTTTTGTCCGCGCACAGTTTCCCGAAAAGCTGCAAAATAAAAAAAATCGTTGCACGTACAGTACTTTTATCAGTGTACAATAAAAAGCGAAGACATTTGTTGTTTTTCAACGCAGAATATATATTTTTGGACAACACTTAGCAGTGTCTTTTTTCAAACCAGGTTTAATTTACACCATCAGATAGGAAATTTAATATTGTACATCCGTACGTAATTCCGATTCAGTGCAATCTCATTAAAATCAGATCTTGGTTCTCGTTTAACAAACATCTGAGATCCCATTTCGGGTCGCGTCAGACCGACCTTGCGCGAACTTTGACCCACCAGTTAGAAGGCAGCTTTCTCGTGCATTACGGCACTAATTTCAAATTGGCGCATCGAAACATATTAATACAAATTCTCTATTACAAATTTGAACCCCGAACAAAAGAACATTCTGGAATGGCTAATAGATGGTCTAGATTGTATGGATTCAGTCGTTAAACCCGTAACTATCGTTCGGAATACCCCGTGTTAAAGTTTACGAGGTTGCGTGATTAGAAATCACATTCCGACTGTCACTTTCATAATCTGGTAAGCGACGCTCTGATTGGTCGGATGAAAGGTCGTTCTGACGTGACCCCTTATAGGACGTCTTCAGATCTTTGTTTAGCGGTTGCGAGAACTACAGTCTGATTTATAATGAGATTGAGATTCAGTGCCGCGTGACCACATTTCTGACACAACCATTTCTTTTCAAATCTTAGGAAAATGTGCGACAGAAAAATGAAATCTCAGCATCCAGCGGTTAAGCATGAAAGCAACCATTTGATTTTCACGTAGGCGAGGGGATATTTTCTTAAAAATAATCAATCCCCTGTTTTACTAAAATTCACATCTATGCCTATCATTGTAGGACGGAAAAATGAACCATTGTCTTGCGGACATATTACCAAAGATACACGCTGCGCGTTCGGTTCCAAATTCATTTTAGCGCGGTTAAATCTACAGCTAACCTAGCTCTACATTGAAAACACAGTATGTTTATCTCCTAATTATACCATGAATTTGGAAATTACTCGATTGTGATTGGTCAATCAGAGGCTATTTAATCACAATAAACCCCCTCTGATTGAAACAGATTGACGGCTGCATCGCCTATGCTAATATTCATAGAATGGTACTATTTTCAGTCATTGTCGGTAGGTCTTTTTAAATAATTATATCTACAATTACAGGTTACAAGATGCACAGATGCGGTTACGACAATATTCAAAGGATGTGTGGCAATACATTTCGCGCAGAAAACACGACAGAAATCTACAATGAGAATGTATTTACGTTTTGGAGACAACAGAGTTCGGAATTTGGCGCTCCCCCCCCCCCCCCATACGACTGTGACGTCATACCTTTTGCGTCACAATGAGTGATATGACGTCATAATGGTGACGTTCGATGTAGAGCGAAAGCCTTGCAAAACTTGCTTTGTTTTCTTTAGGGATGCCCACCTCACATTAGCTTACCAAGTTGCCGTGCTTATATGCTTTCAATGCCTGTCATATGTTCGAGTGAAGTATTATGGTGTAAACAAACTGCTTGAGTATATACAGCGCCATATGTTGTTCGGTGATTCCGTAATTCAGATCGATAACCCACTCAAAACACTGGACTCAACCCATGCCGCTTCGATCAGTATATTTGCTAACCCCAAAGAATTCGCGTTTTATTTAGTCATGGTACAATGGAGATAAACATACTGTGTTTTCAATGTAGAGCTAGGTTACCTGTAGATTTAACCGCGCCAAATTTGTGGCTGTGAAAAGTCTTGCCTGTCAAAATATCTGTCTAATACTGTGACTGTCTTAAGCAGCTGTACAAGGGGGCACGGGTGGCCTAGTCGTCTAAGGCGCCGCAATTCGCTGTGCAGAGTTGCGTCCCTTGGGCACGCCAGAAACCTATGATTGTGGGTTCGAATCCCGGTTCGCCCCGATTATGTTTCTAGGTTTGTCAGCACCATACCCGTGCTCGTGGGTTTCACCGAAGTGGTAAACGTCTGAGACCTGCATCACTTCGGGCTTTCCTCCCACATTAAGCTGACACGCCGTGATATGACTGGAATAATGTTAAAAGCGGCGTTAAACCCAACTCACACACACACACAGCTGTACATGGTGGACTGACTTACAACGTGCTCGTGTTAGAATAGAAGATAAAACTGACCAATAGGAGAGCAAAGAATAGATTGCCCTCAAAAGGCAAGACAAAAGATTACCGTGGGCCCATTCGTGACCAACTCGTGTTATTCCGGGACAAGCGGAATAGCGACTCGTGCACCTCTTGTGGCTATTTTTGCGACCGGGTTCCGTCTTAGCGCAAACGGGCATACCTTAATCAATTTTCAAATTGTTGCGTTATGGTTCACATATATTTCCCCATATATTATATATATTTCAGATGCAATTTAAAGCACATCGGGACGTGCGGAATTATACCGTATGATTGAACACATTTAACTGTGTCTTGCGTATATTTTTAGATGCACATAACATTCATCGATAGGGGGACGAGTCTTCTTGCAGGTTACGGAAAGGGGCGAGTGGTGACGAATGCCGTGGGCCCTCGCCATTAAAACTGGAACTGGTCAGCCCACGTGCAGCTTGGAGCAATCAGGCTGGAAACTGGTACCGTATATAATCCAATAAAACACTACTACACTGTCTAAAACCAATACCATATATATACAAATAAACTATGACAAAAATGACACTGCCACACACTTCCCTCCCACGACAAATGTTGTGCTCGTCATCATAGCTTCCCAGTAACCAGATTCCCAAGGTACCAGACTCATGTGGCTATGAGTGAGTGAGTGGTTTAACGCTGCTTTTAACAGTATTCCAGTTGTATCACGGCGTGTCAGCTTAATATGGGAGGAAAGCCCGAAGTGATGCAGGTGTCAGACGTTTACCACTTCGGTGAAACATACGAGCACGGGTATGGTGCCGACAAAGCTCGAAACATAATCGGTGTGAATCGGGATTCGAACCCACAATCATAGGTTTCTAGCGTGCCGAAGGGACGCAACTCTGCACAGCGAATCGTGGCGCCTTAGACGACTGGGCCACCCGTTCTGACATTCTTCTCGCATGCAACACATCGAAAAGCCATTGTGAATAATTGTGATCTGACAGCACCACGTTAGGCCTCTTAAATACAGTTTCGGCTTGACAATGAGTTAATTTGAGTAAAGGTACTTAAAACTTCAAAGCATTATTTACTTAAAAAGTAAATAGTGCATTGGACCTGTTTGTGTTGGAGATGGGGTGGAGACTGTCACAAGTCAAATATATGGAGATGTCACTGTCACTAATAGAAACTGCAGTAAACTACGTTTATAACGAACACGCATATAACGAACTGACGCATATAACGAACTGACGGATATACAACTTTAAAAAGAGAGTGAGTGAATATGGTTTTACGCCGCTTTTAGCAATATTCCAGCAATATCACGGCGGGGGACACCAGAAATAGGCTTCACACACTGTACCCATGTCAGGAATCGAACCCGGGTCTTCGGCGTGACGAGCGAACGCTTTAACCACTAGGCTACCCGACCGCCCCTTAAAAATAGAAACGCAGAGGTAGTATGGAGTTCATTGAACCTGACTACACAACAAATCCCGTATATAAATTGGGTATATGATATTTGGAAATGTTGGTGGCCTGATATTCGACAAACGGTGCGTCAAAACGCAGCCATTATCGATTTGCAAAGTCTTAAACGGCAATGTTTTCACACTTGTTCAAAAATGTCATGGAGGAAAACAGTAAAGCAAAATGCACGTGCAAAAATGGGCTTCACACATTGTACCTGTAGTGTATTCTCCTTATAGTTGTTTACATTGCGTGTGATACAGTTTCCCGCAATATCCAAGTACACATCATCTCGTTACGTCATATGATGACGTCATGTATGGATGCGATGTCTAAGTAAACTATGGTGGCTTCCTTCCATGTTCTGTGGTGTTTTAGCTTGCATACTCCCGAGCAATAAGGTGTAAATACATGACAGTTTTGGCGACGAGGATGGGATGGAATTATTAAGAAGGTTGAGAAATCTGAGTGGGCGACGCCAGTGGTGGTAGTTCCGAAAGCAAATATGACGGTAAGACTATGTGGGGACTATAAGGTGACAGTCAATCCGGTACTGGAGGATAATGTGTACCCCCTGCCAACAGCAGAAGATTTATTCGCAAAGATGGGCGGAGCCAAAGTCTTCACGAAGTTGGACTTGTCAAATGCATACCTTCAGTTAGAGCTTACAGATAGGTCAAAACCACTACAAGTGATCAACACCCATAAAGGCCTCTACGAATATCAAAGACTTTCGTTTGGAATAGCCACTGCTCCTTCCATATTTCAGTCTATAATGGATCAGGTATTACAAGGCATACCTGGAGCTGAATCATTGCTGGATGATATATTGATAGGGATTGTGACCGATGACCAGCATGACAAGGTGCTTCATGAAGTGCTGAAACGTCTGGATACCTATGGCATTAAGGTGAACTTAGACAAGTGCAAGTTCAAGGTACCCAAAGTGGAATATCTGGGACACTGCATCGATGGGGATGGACTACATCCACTGGAAGACAAGATAAAGGCCATTGAGGACGCTCCACATCCAGAAAATGTCACACAGCTAAGAGCTTTCTTGGGAATGATCAAATATTATGGCAGATTCTTGGGAAACATGTCCACGATTCTAGCACCCCTCTACTCACTCTTGAAGGCTGACACTCCTTGGAAATGGAATTCAGAACAAGAAGATGCGTTCCAAAAGTGCAAGACTATGTTGTCTAGTGAAAGTGTTCTTGTCCACTATGACTTGAACAAGCCATTAACTTTGGCATGTGATGCATCCGCATATGGTGTTGGATGTGTACTATCTCATGTGATGAATGATGGAACTGAAAGACCAGTTGCTTTCGCCTCAAGAACCCTCTCACCAAGTGAGAAAAATTATGCCCAAATAGAAAAAGAAGCACTTGCGATCATATACGGAGTCAAGAAGTTTCACAAGTACATCTATGGAAGGAAGTTTGTCTTAATCACTGACCACAAACCACTTACCACTCTGTTAGGTCCCAAGAACTGCATACCTACACTGGCAGCAGCACGTCTACAACGATGGGCTCCCATTCTGATGGCACATGACTATGAGATACGATATCGAAGATCAGAGGATCATGCTAACGCAGATGGACTCTCTAGACTTCCTGGAAACGATGACCCAGAAACTATTGAAGCCAAAATCAACTACTTCTCAAATGTGATCAACTTGCCTGTCTCAGCAATAGCACAAGCAACTAGGAAAGATCCTGTATTGGCTCGTGTGATGGACTATACCATGAGTGGTTGGCCAAATTATGTTGCAGATGAGGGACTTGCACCATTCTTCAGACGGAAAGATGAACTGTCTGTGGATCAAGATTGTTTGTTATGGGGACTCAGGGTTATTATTCCAAAGAGCTATCAAGACTATGTGTTGAATGAACTACACAGTGAGCATATGGGCATCGTGAAGATGAAGGCACGCGCTCGAAGCTATGTGTGGTACCCAGGTCTTGATCATGACATCGAAATGACAGCTAAAAGTTGTACTGTATGCCAAAGTCTACAAAATGACCCACCAGTGGCCCCTCTTCACCCTTGGAAGTATCCTCAGAGAATATGGGAAAGAGTGCATGTGGACTTTGCGGAATTTCAAAGTCAGCATTATTTTGTGCTCATAGATAGTCGTTCGAAATGGATTGAAGCTATTCTCATGACCTCCACGACAGCTGAGAAGACTGTAGAGACATTGAGAAAGATATTTTCTTCATATGGCTTACCCGAAGAATTAGTGTCAGATAATGGGCCGCAGTTCACAGCTGAAATCTTCAAAGATTTTATGAAGAACAATGGAATCAAACATTCCCTCAGTCCACCTTACAACCCTTCATCAAACGGTGCAGCAGAAAGATCTGTTCAAGTTATTAAATCTGCTCTGAAGAAACACATGATGTCTGTTAAACTCAACAATGGAGACAAGTCAACAAGGAAACACTTGGCAAATTTCCTATTGACTTACAGGTCAACTCCTCATTCCGTAACTGGGCGGACACCTGTTGAACTTTTTCTTGGAAGACAAGTTCGCACAAGACTTTCACTTTTGAAACCAGACCTGCGGAAAACGGTGGAAGCAGCTCAAGAAAAACAGAAGCAATTTCACGACAATTCCATCACACTCAGAGAATTTGAAGTGAATGAATCCTGCAGAGTTAGAAATTACAGAGAATCACAAGATGAGAAATGGATTCCTGGAAGAGTAGTTAAACGCTTAGGTCAACAACGTTATCTTGTTCAAACTGGAGCAAGAACCAGATATGTGCATGTTAACCAGATGCTACCTTCAGTGGGACATGCAGATGAAGAACTGAGACTGTCATTACCAAATGCATTGCCTTTGTTACCGGTAACAACTGGTAATACCATTCCTACAGAGGAGGAGACTACTCAACGCAAGCTACAACCAGCGTTAAAGCCAGCCAGCAACCTTGAATCAAGGGAGAGAACTCTTGATAAACCTGTGACTTCAACAAATGGTGAACCAAGACGCTATCCACAGAGAACTCGAAAACAAGTGCAAAGACTTGATCTTTGAACATTGTGACTTTAATGAGGACAGTTCTGGCATCTCGCAGGAATTGTCAATTCAACAGTTATTCAAGCTCAGAATTTACAAGTTCTAAAAGTTGTGTTAATTCCAGTTATCAAAGTTATAATGAAATGGACTTTAATGTTGGTATTATTCAGAAGCCTAACATTACAGCAAGATCGTAGTACACCTCCCGATGGACTGTAGAAGTATTATTATTATTATATATATATCAATATTATTGATGGACTCTAATGTTTAATATAATCATAAGGTAAATGTTTAGAGGGGAGGAGTGTAGTGTATTCTCCTTATAGTTGTTTACATTGCGTGTGATACAGTTTCCCGCAATATCCAAGTACACATCATCTCGTTACGTCATATGATGACGTCATGTATGGATGCGATGTCTAAGTAAACTATGGTGGCTTCCTTCCATGTTCTGTGGTGTTTTAGCTTGCATACTCCCGAGTCCGGCTGACTTGGTTTTGGTTCAGGGACATTTGACAGCAAATGGCTACATGAATCAAATTCTTCAACCTCACCTTCTTCCCTTCTGACCGCCTGAGCGAGCTGGACAACGCTCCAGCGCGCACAGTTCGTGTGACATTAGACTACCTTCATAATGCCAACATCAACGATTTGCCCTGGCCGCCGAGATCTCCAGATCTCAACCCAATGGGACACCTCTGGGATGAACTTGATCGACGTGCATGTCAACGTCAGAACACGTCGAAGACACTCCCGCAACTGGCCAACCCGTTACGAGCAGAATGGCGCAGAATTCCGCAGGACAGAATTCGTACACTCATCCAGTCAGTGCCAATCGAGGAGATGCAGAGCCGTGATTTCTGCCCGGGGCGGCCACACGAGATACTGAGTTCAGCGCAACCTTGTGGCCTTATGTTTCATGACAATGAACAGTTTTCAGTGCCTTTGTACAACAACATGTGACAATCGAGCTCCAAAATTTCATATTTGTATCTACGATATTAGATTAAATATATCGACATTATCAGGTACAATAAATTTACTAAATATCTACCTGTGCGTTTCTTTTTTGAAGAGTGTATATGCTGTATATATGCTTATAATGAACTACGGTTATAACGAACTACATTTAGTGGCCCCTTTGAGTTCGTGATATCGGTAGTTTACCGTAGTGTATACATATGGTTGTCATATTCTACGTGTGGTGTGTTTTAATTAAATTCGTGAATGTAGTTATATGGCGACAATAATTAACTCGACTAAAGCCCCATTCACATGGACACTTTTACTTACGTGAGTATATATACTTACATAAGTAAATTTACTTATGGTGGCATGTGAACGCATTTGCTTACGTGAGTAGATATACTCCTGGGCCCACTTGCACAAAGCGATCTTAGCGCTAAGATGATCGTAACTCCCATACTTTAACATAGGCTTACGATTGTCTTAGCGCTAAGATCGCTTTGTGCAAGGGGGGCAGGAGTAAAGAGACATGAGTAAAAGTATATTTGCTACACCTGATGAGGTCTAGTAAAAGTATATTTACTCATAAGTATAAATGCTCCTGGAGTATTTCTGGTCATGTGAACAGATTCTCTATTTGCTTACGTAAGCATATTAAATCCAAGATACTGATAATCAGTAAAGAATTCCGAATGTGCAGGAAAATACGGCTGTAGTTCGTTGCAAAGAACATAAAATGTTTCGCGTGTCATGCGAAAGTCATCATTCTGAGTTTATCATCAAATGATCGTTTGACGACATTGATCCACCAGTGTTGAGAACGTTCTCTCTTCACAGTTCTCTTTCCTGGCATAATCCTAAGACTAATCCCATACTAAGAAAGTATTGAAAGTGTCTCTTTCGCCTCTGGTTGACTATCTTCGACAGCGACATGGCCTCAAATGATGAAAGTCCACAATTTATTTATGAAATGATGTTTACTTCTGCCTTTCATAAACTTCATGTGAACGCAATGTAAATATACTTTTGCTTACATGAGTAAATATACTCCATGAGTAAATTTGCTTACATGAGTAAATTTTGTCCATGTGAATAGGGCTTTAACGCGCGACTTCAACCATATTCCGAACAACAGTATATTTCTTGCTAGACTGGTTCCCGGATCCTCCGCCTGGTGTCGCTGCACTTGTTCCGCTTTCCGTCCCAGTCTGTCGCAGGAACGAACGGGAACCAGTCTAATTTCTTGCCGCCGTCACGGAGTTTATTCAGTGCATGTCATTATCACGCAACAGCTGTTGTATATAGATAAACATTTTTTCATGTGTCTCTTGCTTGGAAGAAAAATAATGATATGTTGATTCTAAATATGTTGGTGTATACGTTGATAGAACAGTCGACCGTCGTTATTTATTTGTCATTAATGTCATTTCCCGGTTCTGTGATCATAACGTATGTTGTTAGGGATACATGTGAAAAAAGTTCAATCAGGGGACGTAACTCTCGATGCCTTCGATCATATGACAACAACATTTGCACGAGAGTGACGAATCACTTTTATCCTTTTGCGATAAGTCCGACGACAGCCAGTCCAGTATATCTGACCTACACGATGTCACGCACTTCGGCAGCAGAAGAGGAACCACTGATTGACGATGACAATGTACTGTCGACATGGGACCGCGACCGTCACAGGCGGAAACTGAGGTAAGCAAGACCAACCGAGTGTGGCATGCAGGTGCTCGCTGTGTGGCCACTTTGTGGGGTCTCGCATAACTGTGTTGGTTTTTTCAGTTTCGATAGTTTCCGTGTCAGATCGACTGAGACTTGAGATTAAGGCTCAAGTAAATAAACCATATATATTTCTACAAAAATAGTTGTTATCGTTATTAAAAATAGAGGTGCCGTTTTCGCCCGACACATAGTACCTGTTTTCGCCAAATGCGGTGCCGTTTTCTCCAGAGAAATCGGTGACGTTTTGCTGAGGTGCCGTTTTAGCCAGCACCCCTAAGAAGATCGATAATCGGAATTATGGAAAGAAATATTAACAATTATCGATATGAAATATTGTCATTGAAACCGGGACTGCTTCTTGACATGAAGGACAGATGCAGGTGTTGTTCGAAGTTATAGCCAAGTTTATTACTGATAAATGTTTTTAAACCCTGAAACAATTGTAAAACATTCATTACACAAAATATAAACATATGCTGACATCAAATATTTCATTACATTTGATGATACATACAAAATGCTATATATTCTAATTGATAAACTTACATCTCATCAAAACTTAATTAATCTTATATTATAAACCTACTTAACCCGCATATATACTTATATATGTGTATCATATAAATAGAGTAAGATAGACATGACATGATACATTTACTATGTGTACATACAATATACAATATATGAGAATATATATAAAACCTAGTAAACCCACAAAGTGTGTGGACCTGGGTTCATCAGTCCAGACACAGACCTCTGCTCGAGTAATACAGCTACATCTGCACGACAAATAAATGAATATATATGCACACTGTGCAGACCAATATGATAGCAGCAATATTACTACAAACCGATACATAGTGTTATTGCAGAGTAACTTAAAACATTTCTAAAATATAATAGTAAAACCCTGATCCATTCATACATCATACATTCATACATTACACATTCATATATACCAATATGTTACCTAGCAACACATATGTTTCACATTCTTACTTTCATACTTCATACTTTCATACATCAGCTTCACAGTGATTGAAGATTTAGTTAAATAGTATTTTAGGCCTAAACTTAGCACTTACTGAATTATTTACCTTACGTAAATAATAACACTTGTAATGCATACAGAAATACAACTAATTACTATGATCTGGCTAATATTTACAACATGACAAAAACAGCCAAATTATCAACAGCATAAACACAATATACCTACAAATCCTAGGAATACGCACAAACAATTAAATATCATCAAAAGACCAACCTTTAGATGTGAATTCCAAAGTCAATAAATCAAACACCACAATTAGTCCAAATTGTGGATTCCAAAATGTCCAATGCTATACATGTGTTTGACAGTAACATCAAATGTGATCTAAACTGTAGTAAAACTAAACCCTTCAAACTGGAGACAGTAAGCTAGAAAGTTAAACACAAAGGGGCTGTGAGGGGCGCGCTTGGGCAGGCTATTGTGTGATAGTGCACTAGGTGATTGAAGCTGTGGCAAAGTACTCATGCAGTAAGCTGAAACAGAGAATTAGGAGAGCTGAAGTGTGAAGTATATAATGTTTAAAACATATTTGACTGAATATTTAATTCAGTAAAAATCTAAACTAATAAAACTCTCAAAAATATATACAACTATCTGATCCTGTCACATCATCGATAATAGGCCTATTAACTTACATAAACTATTGTGATGAAATATAAGTTTAGTCTTACCGATACGGACTTGTAATTGTAAGTACTGTCAAGTGTCGAAGAATGAAAGCAACCGTTTTTTTCATATTTCTAATGTCCACATAGTAGTCTATTCTTAAGTGTGGCACTGCTCACCATTGGTATGAAATCTGTTGATTTGTTTCAAGACTTTCATGCCTATTTGCTTAAACGTCCTTCTCCGATATTTATTGATAATTTATTGATATTTAGTTACCTGTTATCTGTCTATAATCTTAATCGATAGCCAGCCCTGCTTGAGGCCAAACTTAAAGAACATGGGTTGTGACCAGAAAAAATGGAAAGTGGAAAAAATAACATCTTTGAAACTATCCTTCATTTTAAAGTTAATACGACTGCAAAGCAGAACATATCACATATCAAACAGTCGACTGTCGTTATTACTTTTCATTAATGTCATTTCACGGCTCTGCGATCATAACGTATGTAGTTAGGGATGTATGTGAAAAATGTTCGTTCAGGGGACGTAACTCTCGATGCCAGCGATCATAACATCTTTCGACTGCAAAGCATAACATATCTCCACATATGTCAAATTATTCGAAAGATCAAAGTATATTTTTTTTATTTATCTGAAATAGGCTTCTATCTGTTTTATTATATTTGTTTGCTAACCTATCAACAATGAATTTTCAGAAAACCAACCAATTACAGGCTCACAACTTTTGAGAAATACATTTTCAATCCAAATAGTTGGTGAATTTCTAGAAAAAAATGTTTGATAAATAGAAGGTACTGGCTAGCGAGGAGTTATCTCTGAGGACCAATCATCGCCAACTCCCTTTATCTTATTTTGCTTTTCCTCGCTTTCATTAGAAGAGAGAAATGTTTATCCAAAAAGGATGAACAAAACTGACTCCCATGAAGAAATTTTGAAAAACAGAACACCTTGCTACAATACAACTGAGAAAGAGACACACGAGATGTGTGACATGACTGATTCACGCCTTAAAAACATCCAGCAACACAATAATGATATGTTGATTTTGTTGGCTGCAGACTCTGTATACAGAGCTACAGATAGGCTGTATTTGTGTAAAATACCCCCCCAAAACATTTTAAAACTCAACTACTTTCAATTAACTTGCGTACAGAAATGTATGCATTAAATGAAAACCTCACATTATACAAACAGCACGGGTAAATACCCAATGAAGCTTTTCAACATGCGTACAAAGGAACTAATTTCCGAAACACAATTGCGAGCTAATTTCCTTTCCAAGTCAAGCCTCTATATTTAGAACAGTTATCATGGTTATGTACATCTGAAACATAATTTCATTTTTCTAAATCTTAAAATGTTTACTCTTTTTGGGAAATACCGTATTTGACTTAATAAGCGCCCAGGGCGCTCTCAAAATTAGAAATAGGGGGCTCTTATAAGAATATTATTTTAGTGGAAAGAGTTAAAAGATAAATTTCGTTGTTTGTGCTGACAGCCTGAAATGTTTATATACGACAGATATATTTTTCCTGAATTTAATTGCCCATAATTAAGTGTGCATATAACACACGAGTGCGTATTATACGTGAATAAATAAGTCTTGTGTACATCGATCAATCGGAATGGGTGCTAATTAGGATTGTTCATTGGCCAATATATTAGCAAATATGTGGGCGCTTATTAGAGCGGGGCGCTTATTACGTCGAATACGGTACCCAATAGGGTGATGAATAGATGAGTGAAAAATATTGGTTACCCAATGTAATAACCAAATTAAAATAGAAACCCTGGACTAAAAACTCAATGGCTCAAAATGTTATCTTTGTCTCTGGTGAATATCAATTATGATGTCATACCATTGTGTTACAACTGCTGCATCAGTGCATAGCCTGATGGTGTTATTCCATGGCACCAGCTGTCTCCGTATCATCTACTTTTAGTCTCCATCAGGATGTGGCTTTGTCATCTAACTCCATACCAGCAGCTGTGTTGATGTCTGTGTTAATGGCACCAGCTGTCTCCGTATCACAGGTTTTAGATTATAATGGTCACTTTACACCTGGGCTCACAGGTAGATCTCATACGTATTTTCAAATGCTGGCTTACAGTTTATCACATAACTCGCCTGTCTCACCTGCCTCACATTACTCGTGTCTCCCCTGCCTCACATTACTCCCCTGTCTCACCTGTCTCACATTACTCACCTGCCTCACATTACTCCCCTGTCTCACCTGCCTCACATTACTCACCTGCCTCACATTACTCACCTGTCTCACCTGCCTCACATTACTCACCTGCCTCACATTACTCCCCTGTCTCACATCACTCACCTGTCTCACCTCACTCACCTGTCTCACATTACTCACCTGCCTCACATTACTCACCTGTCTCACATTACTCACCTGCCTCACATTACTCACCTGCCTCACATTACTCACCTGTCTCACCTGTCTCACATTACTCACCTGCCTCACATTACTCACCTGCCTCACATTACTCCCCTGTCTCACATCACTCACCTGTCTCACCTCACTCACCTGTCTTACCTCACTCACCTGTCTCACATTACTCACCTGCCCCAAATTACTCACCTGCCCCACAAAACTCACCTGCCTCACATTACTCCCGTCTCACATCACTCACCTGTCTCACCTCACTCACCTGTCTCACATTACTCATCTGTCTCACCTGCCCGACATTACTCACCTGTCTCACCTGTCTCACATTACTCCCCTGTCTCACATTACTCCCCTGTCTCACATTACTCCCCTGTCTCACCTGCCCCACATTACTCACCTGTCTCACCTCACTCACCTGTCTCACATTACTCACCTGTCTCACATTACTCACCTGTCTCACCTGTCTCGCATCACTCACCCGTCTAACCTCACTCACATTTCTCACCACACTCACCTGTCTCACCTTACTCACCTGTCTCATCTGTCAAACCTTACTCACCTGTCTCACCTCAATCACCTTGTCTGTCTTGCGTCAGTTGTCTAACCTGCCTCACCTCACTCATCTGTCTCCCACCACTCACCTCTCTTCTGTCTCACCTCACTCTTCTCTCTCAACTCACCTGTCTCACACTACTCACCTGTCTCAACTCACTCTACTGTCTCACCTCACCTATCTCACCTCACTCTTCTGTCTCAACTCACTCTACTGTCTCACCTCACCTATCTCACCTCACTCTTCTGTCTCACCTCACTCTACTGTCTCACCTCACCTGTCTCAACTCACTCAACTGTCTCACCTCACCTATCTCACCTCACTCTTCTGTCTC